CTTTTCCCGTCTTTTATTTTTGTATCGGTTTGATTCTATTGAAATAAGCCTACATTCTCTTTTGTGCATTTTACCTGCTTTAAATTTTTTTTTTTTTGCTATATTTCTTCATGCATTTTACTCTAAGATGATTAGGGAATTAGCTAGACTGATTGTGAAGCGTTTTATCCTTGAAAAGGGAAGGAAAGGGTGTTTTTTTCTGAATTTATCATTCCAAGATGCTTGGCGTTCTGTGACCCATTGCAGGATATGCTCATCATAAAGCCTCAGAAGAAAAATCCACTTATATCGGCAATGATTCTATTAGCATTATTAATGATATGTGGAGTTTATTTCTGTTTGATATGCTTAAAGCAAAAAGGATTCATCATCAATCCCAATTCAATGAGGATAGAGCAAATAGAAAGGTCTTGTCCTAATCCCAATATTTCAAAATCTGAGGTTCCATATGTTCACTACCCGGAGCCCACTACTTACAGAAGGTACCGAAATGATCTCAGGCTATTTGACATTATGCAACTTTTAAGTTTTATCTTTAATAAGTCTATTTTGCAGAAATGAATGCAGATGCACACCAGTTAGATTCTTTGCGATTTTGTCGATGCAAAGGTCTGGAAGTGGGTGGTTTGAGACTTTGCTAAATAGCCATATTAATATTAGCTCCAATGGTGAGATATTCTCAGTGAAAGTAAGGAGAAGTAATATGTCAACTATTACAGAAACCTTGGACAAAGTGTACAACCTTGATTGGTTTAGTAGCGCTTCTAAAAATGAGTGCACATCTGCTGTTGGCTTCAAATGGATGCTAAATCAGGTAAATTTCGTATGAATATTTCGCATGATAGATAGTGTAATGTGCTTGATAGGTCACACTAATGTGAAAACTGAAGTAGCTGTATCATGTACTTATTCTTAACTGTTGTGTTCCTAAGTGCAAAATCAAAATTTATCTACAAGATAGATGAAAATATCTGGAGGCTGATATCTGGTTACGTTTGACCTTGTTTAAGTTTAGGTGATCTATGTAATTTAGAAGAATATGTGAAATCTGAATATGCCCTTGCTCCGTCCTTTCCCATCAAGCACATATATAATTATACATATAAATTAACAAATTATATAATACAATACTATCAATAGAAACAATTATTTAAACAATTATCGTAAAGACCTAAACATATAATACTTATTATTATTATTTTCATGTCATACATTATCCTTCTCATTTTCGTCTCAAAAACTAACAAAATACTACCAAGTTCCAACAATTATCCTTCATAATTGTTCTCTATGCAATCTCTATGTGATCTCATATTATGTTGGATTTCGGGCACCAGTTAAAATTGTATGGGGGCACCTATATAAATTTGTACACCCTTAGTGAAAAATTTAAAATCATATGGGGCAAATGTCCCGAAATCAACATATAGATCTGTCCTTTTCAATTATATATTTTGGAACTGATAAGTATTTGTGAGCACTTGTGCATATTTTATATCCTAGATGCATGATCAACCAATGTTTAAAAAACGGGGGCACAAGTCAAAGCATTAGACCCTTTATGAAGCGAGGCATAAACTTTAGAGCATGAGGCGTAAACCTTATGAGTTAGGTATATCTTAATTAAAAATTTATAAATATTATGAACATATAATATATAGTGGTATAGTAGTTTATAAAAAGATACATTCACGTCCTGATTAGTAAATAATAATTAAATATGCAAAGTATAGACTTAATCACAATAAACTAAGGGTACATGCATTATATATATATATAACATATATCAATATATAGTAATATATAGATATATACATATATATTATATATATATATTATAATATATATATAATAATATATATATATATAAAGTATTTATATATATATATATATAACTATATAGTAAGATTATATATCTTAGTTGCTAGTCAAATGGTCGTGATAGAAGACACATAGGAGGCAATGTTTTAAAAAGCTCCCGCCTAGGCTTTGGCCATCTACCTCTTGAGAGTGCCTAGAGGAGGATAGACCACTTACGTGGACTGCACCGCTATGTCTTTGTCGTGATTTTCTTTGTTGTCGTCTCCACATCCTCTATTCTCCTTCGGACTCCTCTGGCCTCCTCCACTGACTACGAACACCTTCTCCAACTCCAACTCTTTTGACCTTCAACAAAACCTCCTCCACAACCACACAAACAAAAAAGAAATCCTACTAGGCCTAGCGCCTACGCACTAAGCGCCAGTCTGGTACCTGGCGGGGCCTAATGCTTTCGATAAAATTGATTGTAATTAAAAAAAGAAAAAAGGAAAACGCTTAGGCCCTGCCTAGGCGCATAGGCTCTAGGCGTGGGTCCGACGCCTAGTCAGCGTAGCACTTTCTATAACCTTGTATATCGGGGACATTCTAATTTTAGTCAGAAATTCTTTTATTCCCTAATATATTGTCTAAAATGTGTGCTTCAAATGAGAAGCATTTTATGGAACGTGAAGGGAAAACACTTTAGTTATACTTTAAGCGATGAGGTGTATTCTTTAAGAGAAGAGTAGCTTCTCTTTTGAGTTTCAAAGCGATTATTCTTCAAAAAGTTGTGAAGCAAATGTTGAAGCGAGTTTTAGAACAGCTTGTTCAAATGCTACGTTCAGCATTTTGGTTCGAGTTAATGATTTGGGAGCAATATGAGAAATATTGACAGCTTCTGTCTTTTCTTAAATTCTAATAAAAGGAAAACACAGGATTTTACTTGTTAAATAATGATGGAGCGTGTTACTTTCGCTTTATTGTGCCACACCGTGCATTTTGCCAGCTTCTAGGAGGTCGGCTAAGGAAGTGCTTTTGTTCTTGGGTACTACTGATGGTTAGGAGAACATGCCGCTTCTGTGAGTTCTGTTGTACTTGGTCAGTTTGCTGCAACTGTGGCATACATGAGTAAAGGCATCATAGATGTGTCGATAGTTATCTAGTTTTTGGTAGTATTCTTTTCATTCATAGGGTTTTGATGCCATAGGCACATATATCGTGATCAGATTATACGAGGAGACAAAACTGTCTTATAGTAGGGTTTTTTTTCCATGAGATATGTGTGCATGTATGAGAGCAATTGTGAAATAGTCCTATCACCATATGGTTACATCCAAGATAGCCATTAAGTTCTTACTTTATTTCATTAGTTATGGATGAAATTTCTCGGCATGCTTAAGATACTATCAATTGGTATATTTTGTTGGTAGATAATACTGCCTGAGTTGATCTGATATTTGATGAAATAGTAAAATGGTTAAACCGTTAAAGGAAGCTTTATAATTTTAATGCTTAGAGTTAACAACCTGAGAATCGACTATACTTGAATACAGTTTGAAGAAAACTATGAGGAGAAATGTTGAATATTGAATTTTTTCCTCCAGTTTGATCATGGTTTGTTCTAAGTGGTGCTGTGGTGTATAATTTACTAATTTATCTATCATTTTGGAAGTGAATTCTATTGTCATTATCCTTCACCGTTCCTTGATCATATGAAAATCTTATTGGACTTTGTGCCTTTCGCAGGTGATAGACAGTTCAGAAATGTGGGCTAGTACCAAGCAGTCCTGTGAGGCTGTGGTGTGAGACAAACAATGCATAGAACAATTTTGCCACTTTTTCTTTACTGTAACAAGCCAAACCCTTCTTTCAGTTTTTGTCTTCTTATTGTTACCTGGGCTCTTTCTTTTAAGGTGTAGTTTTAGTACGAAGTGGTGCGATTTTTTTAGGTGTAAATTGCAAAAGGATTTCTATATATGGGTCATCATGTCAACCATGAGAATTTGAAGAGTTAGAGCGCCAGAGGCTTATATTTATAATAGGATGCTGATAGTGTGGTATTGAGTTGCCAATATGGGAGAGATAGGGTAGTAAGAGAATGTGAGAGGTTGAGAAATCTGAGGATTTATTCTGTGTTTTATTTTTATGTTTGAGATGAAGGTTTGAAATGTTAGACAATACTGATAATTATAAGGAAAATCTTATTGGAGTAAAAGTCCCAATCTAAAACATTAAAAGTGTTTTTAGTATATGACCTTCATGAATATGATATTAGAAGAATTCCTTTATGCCTGGAATGGTCAGTGTTTTAAATGTCGGCCCTCATGTCCGATTTTTATTGGAGTAAAAGTCCCAAGCTAAAACATTAAAACTATTTTCAGTATATGACCTTTATGAATATGATATTAGAAGGATTCCTTTATGCTTGGAATGGTTAGTGTTTTAAATGTTGGCCGCCGCGTCGGACATGGTGGCCGACATGTTTGGTTTAGGGGCCAACCGACACGATATGAAGTTTTTTAAGGCATATTGTGTTTTCATAGTTCATGTCGAATATATCGGAGGACATGTAGGCTATATCGAGTGATCGGCTGATATTGTGTTTTTTATGTTTTATCTGTTTAGGCTTGGGTTTATAATCCAAAACCCAAACCCGCTCCTCTTCTCTCTCTCCTTTGACATCTAATTGGTCTCTTCTCTCTTCTGTTCCTTCAACATCAACATCAAGCTGGTTAGTGATCCTAAACATCATATGTTACTTACTTTTTTATATGTTTAAACAATAGAATTTATTCAAGATGTTTAGATTCCATTTATGATATTATATTACACATATGCATATCATCTGATATGGCAATCCGATTTTTTATGTCCCCTGACATACTCCCGATTTTTGCTATCCAACATGAATTTTAGCCATCCGATATGAACCCGACATTTGACATTTAAAACATTGAGAGTAGTTACATACTTCCTGATAAACAATGAACAGACAACATTGGCATTTTATGGAAATTTTTTGATAGAGAACAAAAACAAGGCACGAGACCCCAAAAAGTTTGGCCTGTTTTGAGATAAAATCCGAACTTTTGGAAATATCACTTCCCCTCCCCCCCAAAAAAAAAGAAAAAGAAAAAACTTTCAACCGTTGACAAAACCATCTATGAGATTTGAATTTTTTTCATTTTATCCCTTAAACGAGTATTGTCAACATACCCCCTAACTTTCAACATTATTTTTTGGGAGGCCCTAAAATTTGAACATTATTTTCACAAAATCCCCGGCAAAAGTTTTAAAAAGCCTCCTGTTATAGTGTTTCAATTATTGAATAATAATCTCCATTCAGTAGCAGACAATTGTCCCATATTAACTGCCTAATTAAATCACTTCATCATTTCGAGATAACCAAAAGTCCCCAGCTCGGATGGCTCGAAGGGTCGACATCTCGCGTACCTGGCTCAAAAGGCAGTACGTGTTGACCTTCTCAGGTCGACTCCACAAGCGACCTATACAACCGCCTATTCGGCCGGCATCTCTCGGGGCCGACTCAAAAGGGAATACCTCTCGGCCTTTTACCTGGCAAGTAGAAAGGCGACGGCGTACCTTGAGCCTCCCCGCTGACAATTGGTCGTCATCACATTAAATGCATGATCAAAATCATCATTTGTCCGTCCCCGAAGATCTCTATAACACATCGGACCACGTCGGTACCACGTGCCTCCTGTCACTTTGCATAAACGCCAAAGTGACTCTTGCCACTGGGCAGTTGACACCTATAAAACAAATACTGACTCAGCCACCATGCCATACTCGACCGAAGTTACCAAACTATCCCTTTACTATTACTATAAATAGGCGGACTATTCTTAGCACGAAGGTAAGCAATTTTTCTGCTCCCTAAGCTCCAGAACCCTTACAGTTCATTTTCTTCACCACTCAAGTAATTTACTGACTTGATCGTCGGAGGAACAACCAGAGAAGCCAACTCCACTTTCTTATGAGTTTCTTACATGT